CTCGGGCTGGACTCGAACCACTGTTGCTCAGAGCTCGCACTCTTGAGCGAGCTCTTAACCAACTGAGCCACTCGGCCGGCCCTGATCTTAGACATTTTAAAATTACCTATGTGACTTGTATTTTACTTCTATTGGACAACACAGGTCTACAGTATCAACTCAATCTAGTTTTAGACTTGTTTAAATAAGAGGTTTCATTATGTGCTTCACCTCCAAGAAGCCAGTTTCTTCCTTCCTGAAATAATTTAAGGGCCCCCTCCTTCATTAGAATAAAAATTAGTGACCTATGGTTTGGTGTCCTCAAAGAGCTCATGTAGCTCCAAACAACTTTATTTAAATCAGGAAAACAACATGTTGCATCATGCCCTTTTAAACCTACTCTTGTTCAAGCAGATATTTCTTGACAAAGTTCTAAACTTACCCTTTTGTACATATTGTATAACTGTTTTTAACTTCTTTTTTCCATTAATATTTTTAAAAAGGAAATCAGAGTTAAGAACAGAAAAGCTAAGTGATGTGAAGAAGTGTGGGAGAACCCATGGAGACATTTTTGCAATGCGGCTTGGGAAGAGAAATGAAACCAAGGCAAAAGTATTGTATATCAGGGTCTTGAGGCTGTTGCAGTCTGCCTTTAGGGTAGAGGATAAGGTGGAGAAGGAGCTGTCAGAGACAGTTTCGAGCTTTCCCCTGAAGCTCACTTGTAAGCAGGAGTGGGGTTTCTGAGGACAGAGCTCAAGTCACATAACTGTGTATGTGAAGAAATAGCTGTAGCAGCCATTAACGTTTTCTTCTTGTGCTTAAGATCCCCTCAATTTTTAAAGGTTCCCCTAAAGTTTCTCCTCTAATAATAGCTAAGGTTTATTGGCACTTAAAACATACCAATACTTTCACATATGTAATCCATTCAATCTTCCCAATAATGCCAGGAGAAACTGTGGCATTGAAGTGCCAAATAATTTAGAGTCACTCAGTATTTGGCAGAGGACGGATTAGATGCAGCCTTCAGTGGCCATAGGATAGACATCAGAACCCAGCTCCTAACCACTGCACATACTGCCTCACCCAGCTCTCTCACCTTCGGTGTTTTATCTCTCCCAGGCCATTTGAATCCCAGACTCCAATGCTAACACTTCTGTATTATCTAACGTATATTATATGACATTATAAATTATAATGAATTCAGGATGTCAGAAACTAAGTCAACTGAGGGCAATTTTTTGTGACATGTTGAAAGTCTACAACACTAGAAATTCATTTTAACAGTAATCAAAAGAGAGTGGCAGTCAGTTAAAGGCAGATTTATCTTAGATTTTATCCCAGTGGAGCATTATAAAAGAACCAAGAGAATTCTATTAAGACACTGGCTTTTGCTGTAAAGTGTGACTAAAGAGTTGCATACAAATTCCATCCCTGACCCCAAGTCCCCTGTTATAATACCTCATAGCATCTTTTAGTTTCCTTAATACTTAAACTCTATTTAAGTATCTCTCTCTCTCTTTTTAATTTGTAAAATTGGAATAATCTCTTGCCATGTGAAGTTTAAACAGATTACATAAAATGCTTGGAATACTTCCTAACACATAGCAGATTCTCAATACATGTTAGTGGGTATTATAATACATATATAATTTAATATAAATTATTGTATATATTTTGTGATTGTGTAATCATGTTTGACTCCCACTACTAGAATATAAACTTCCTGATGGCAAGGACATTTAACCAGTGTGGCACACATCACAACTGCCCCTGCTATCCAGCTCTCTTCATCTGAGCACACAAGGAAATTGGCTTCCTTGATTTCTTGAAAGTTGATCATGGTCATTGATTTGATTTGGCCAATGAAATATGAGCAAGAACTTCCAGGTGGAAAATTGAAATGCTGCACTAACTCTTCACTTCTCTCTTTCCCTATCTCAGTGAGTGTGGAAGCAGGTTTTGATATGACATAGAGGACACCTACTCTGAGGAGTAAACTGGATCTACGGCTGACTTTGATTAGTGAGAAATAAATCATTATTACTTAAGCCTCTGAGACTTTGGGGTAGTTTATTACAGCAGCATAACCTAGCCTACCCTGACTCTTACAACCGATTACATTCCCACAGCCTAGCACAGTGTCTGGCACCTAGCAAGTAATCAAATATGTGTTCACTAAATTGATAAGTTAAAAGTTTTAATCATTAACAAAAATAAATAATTTTGTTAAATAATTATTTTCAACTGTACTCTGTGTACAATGAAAAACCTTAGAAATCTGAACTGATTAGTATGTGAGCATCACCATCCTTTGGGTACCAAACAGTCATCTTAGACATCAAAGTCAGAGTCGCACATGCTTTGCACTCCAGGGGGACTTCATTAAAGTTTTATTGAATTTCAATTGAATCATTTTTTTCTGTGAAGTGGTTTTGAAAAACCTTTATTTCTGTTATAGAGTTACTTACTTAAATGGCCCTATTTAAAGGTACCAGTTCCTTATAGAGTGGCCTTGCAAAAATTCATCTGTGTGTAGTACCTGCCTCCATGACAACTGCAACCCAGATGCAGAAATTCTTCATAATCATATAGATTATACTAGAAACCAGAAGGATTTCAAGGTCAAAAGCATTCAGAGAATGTGTTTAACAAATGGAATTTGTGGTATCTCTGGGCAGGGAGAAGGGAAAGGATGGGCACTGGTTGTATTAATATCTTACTTCTCATTCTAAAAGGAATCAATAAATTTACCAAGAAAGAAGAAAAACTACAAGCCCCAGTTTTTCTTTCTGGTTGTGGAAGCATGACAATTTCTACAAGTGGCCAGGCAGAGGAATTGACCTTGTCACAGATAAAGTGATGAGGCCCACAAGAGTGAAAAGATAAAACCTGAGGCTCTGGTACATGAGAAAGAAGTCACAGAAAAACAAAGCTGTTCTCCAGTGCTACTAATGGTCCTGAGCAACTCAATTCTTTTGGAAGGCTCATTAATTCCTGCAGCTTCCCAGCTCTAGTGCCTAGAGAACCACTAGGCTCATAATCACATAGATGTTGGGAGATGACCTGGCATCTGGTCTGATAGAGGTGTGAGAAATAAGCAAGTCTGAGGTGGTGGGGAGGGTTAAACAAAAGATCAGTTTTGATCTGTGTGAATATACAGAACCTTTGGGCTTTCAAAGAGAGTAGAGTACAAGGGATGACCCAGGGTGCCTTGGGCAGGCATCTTATTGGTGCTATTAGTTGTGTGACATTGGACAAATACTTAAACCTCTCTGTGCTTCCATTTCCTCCCCTGAAAATGAAAACAGTGCCTGCCTCAAAGAATTGTTGTCAGAACTTGACTTACTTAAAACCTGTACAGCACAGTTGTACAGCATACAGCATTACTCAGGAAATGTCAGTCTTTGCTATTATTGCCTTGGTGCACACAAACTGGTCAATTATGGGTCCAGCCCTTACCAGCTAGGCAACTTTGAGCACATTACTTCTCTGTGCCTTAGCTTTCTCATCTTAAAATGGAATAATGGTAATTCTATGTCATGGGGTTGTAAGAAGGAGTAATGAAACAACACCTAGTATGATGCCTTGCTCACAGTAATCCCATGATCAATGCTACCTGACATTAGTACTATTTCTTGTAGTAAGAAGCTGATAGGACAGCAGACATCCTCCAGGGCTGAATGTGTGTGAGGGTTTAATATACAGGCAGGAACGTTTGGAGAAAGGAAGGAAAGAAAATGTTCTCGTCCTTGGAAAAAAAATGTGTGCTTTCTTACAATGGTAGGGTCTGGCTCTTCGAGGTGACGCCTAAAGTGAGATATGGTCACCTGTTTAAAGGCTGTAGGCTCGTGTAAGAAAAGCTGACATAAATTCCTGAGGACAGAGATCCGCTTACACTTCTTTGCATCCCCTTAGTTCCCAAGGGCTAGGCACTCCAAATATTTGCTGATCCCAGTCAAAACTCGGGACTCACGCCCTGACTGACCAGCAGAGGCCGCCCTGGGCCGGGGCTCACGGGACCCCAGCGCTGGGAGAGGAAAGGCCAGGGGGTGGCCCCGTCCTCGCTGCCGGGCTTGGGTGGGAGGAGTTTGGCGGTGGCAGGCACGGCGGAGGAGGCGGCCCAGGGCTCGGGCGGCTGGGATGGAGCAGAAGCGCCCTGGGTGCCGAGGAACACACAGCTGACGGAGTGGCTTCGCGTTCGCCTGGCTTCCTCGCCCGCCGCCCGAGCCGCGCGGGACTCACAGTTCCCATCGCAGCCCACCGGGCAGAGGAGGAACCATCAGCGCCCCGTGCGCTCGGTCAGTCCCAGCAAACTCTCCCGCCGCCTGCGCCGTGCTCGGCACCAAGCACCAGGGTACCATGGTCTGCAGGATTCTCTTCGTTCTCTGCATCTTCACGGCAGGTATTTTGGGGCACCGTCCTCCCGGAGTGGTATGGGCTCTGGCAGCCAGCACTGGGGTCGGGGCCAAAGCGAGGAAACCGGGAAATAAATCGCTTTGCACGGGTAGTGCGAGCCTCAGGGATTGAGCGAAGGGATGTGCGCACTTGAATTTGGGGTGATGCGCGCCTTTGGAGATCCTGGGAGGTGACGGACCGAGGGGATGACAAGGTCCTTCCTGCCGCAGCCCGCTCCCGCAAAAACTCCGGGTGTTGTAGAACAGGTGGCTGCGCGACTCGTTCGAACCCCGGTTGGGAGACACTGGCTACGACTGGAGCGCACCCTGCCAGAGCCGGGGACCAGACTTCTTAAGGCGGTTGGACTCCGGGAGGGATGAAAAAGTGGAAGAAGCGGTGGGGGGAGGGTGTCGCATCTGGGAAGGCTTTAAGCAGTGGCTCCGCACCCGGCGGGGTTTGATTGCGTTCCCCGAGACTTGGTTTCTGGTCTCCGGCGTCTCTTCGTAGTTATGCATGGACATGATGCAGCATTCAAGTTCCGCGGAAGCTGCCTCGACCCGGTTCAAGCTCACGATCACTGCTAGGGGGTTTGCAGTTCTTCTACCCAGGTCCGGAGCCTCCCCAAAATGCGTGCTATGGCAGAAGCTGCTAACTTGGCTGAAAGTAGCGTTTCCCCCCCCCCCCTTCCACTCATTCCCCCCGACACAAGCGCGGCCTCGGAACGGCTTACCCTCTACGCGCCTCGCGGGTCTCGTGACCACCGACGGCGGCGGCCTCTCAGAGGACTGGGGAGAGAGGAGCCGGAGGAAGGAACTCAGCTTGGGGTGGGGGGTGGGGGGGCCGGGGAGAGGTGCAGAGCAACGCTTTGAGTCTGGAGTTGTGGGTGCCCAGGTTTTCCAGAAAATGCAGCCCACCAGGGGACAACTGACTACGGATGAGGCACCAGGGCAGATAGTGCTCGCGTGCGTTCTGACATGCTTAGATAAGAACGTTCCAAAGCCGCATACGCACGTGGGTTTGACTCCTGCTTGTAGCCCATGTATATTTTTCCTCCTGAATTGTTTGGATTCCTTTAATGGTGGACACGAGTCTCTACAATCCCTTGAAAAGAAGCTAGGGGTTTCCTGGCAGCTCCCAAAGGATAAAGCAGTTTTGAGAAAAAGTTTCCCAACTTGAGGCTATAGCGTGTGTTTTTTTCCTCTACTTGCTGCACGCCTGAAAAAAACTCCCTTTTTCTCTCTGGTGTCTACACGGTTTGGAGACGCGTCGGCAGAAGGTTCCCGAATAATCTTGGGCGGCTTTGGCTGCGCAGCCCACGGAGCTGGAAGCGCGCGGATCCCTGCAGGTGTAACAGCCGCGTCCAGCCCCGGAGTCGCTCCGTGTGGCGGTTCCCATAATCCTCCAAGCCAGAGATGTTTATGAAATGACACGAAAGGTGCCTTTTCTTTCTCCTCTTAGAAATCCTTTCCTGAGGCTCGAGGCTCAGAAAACCTTGAGTGAGCCAGTAGAGTTAGTAGGTAGGTTTGATTGCTAATTTTATTTTGTGGCCTTTTTTTTTTTTTTTAACAGCTGTGGCAGTTGGCAAAATTGGGATTAACCCTACTAGGTAGTGTATTGTCGCATTTTTTTTTTCTAAAGAGCTTAAGATCTTTTTCTCTTGGCCAGTTTCAGAGTTCAGCCCCTCTCTTCCGGGGGCAGGAATACTGCCCTTGTTCCCAGCCAGAGGGAGGAGACTAGTGGCTCAGGGATCAACTGAGCAACCCCATCCCCATCCCTGCACATGTGTGTGATCAGAGCCAGGAAAATCACAGCCTCCCCGTTCTGGAGTTCTCCTGGCCCCGGAAGACGTAGTCATGTTTCTGTGTACATCACCCCAGCAGAGTGATGGAACCTACTTCTTTCCTCTGAGTTTGTGCCTCTGAAGGAATCTCTGTAGGGTCAGTGTGGTGTTAGACTTACTTGCAATTGTTGTCAGGAAAATAATATAAAAATTGACGTAAATACCCTATGAGGTCCTTTGCACCCCAAAGTAAAGGGTTTACAGCAACTAGAAAGATAACTTTTTAAGAATAAATAGATGTTTAGTAAGGAAAGAGGGGTGAGGGTTCTTGAAATGAAAGTGGCATGAATGTTTCAGTGGCTCATCTGGGTGCTCCCTTGGCTACCAAGCTCCAGTTCCTTTCACGGGGCTGTTTACTCCTTTTCTGTTTTCACCTCCCACCCTCCCACCCCCATCCTTTAGAGGGTTCGCAATTTTTGTAAAACTCTTAAGGTGATACTGTCTCCAACCAGGAATGGAGTTTGGCAGGGGTCTTTTTTTAGCTTAATAAATCAATATATACCTACCCAGCATTTCCTCCAGCCAGTATAATGGATACTTGCAAATATATGTGCACTGTCAACAACCCAGAAAAAGCAGCTCTCTATATTTACTCACTTGGAGTTTTAAAAGAAGGAAGAGAGAAACTGGATTGTCTTCAGTTCTCTCTAAGTTGACTGTGGTGGAAAACTAACATGGCTATTGTGCAAACCATTCCCCGACACCGCTAAGGCATGTGCGAGGCATACAGGAGTCCTGCCTCCAAACTAACAGTCAAGCCAGAACCTGCAAGGTTTGGCATCGGAACCAAGAGCGAGGGAGGACAGCCAGCCCCGGGAAGCTTCCATCTTCACCCCTCGCTCTCTCTCTCCCCTCTGGATTCTCTTCCTTCATTCCCACCACCATCATTGCTGCCTTCCCATGATCCTATGGCCCAATTTATTTAAAAGCTCCCTCACTGAGACATCTGAGATGTATGGGAACTTTCAAATGGCCTTTTGCAAACACCCAAGAAGGACAAAAGGGAAAGAAGCGTAGGTAAGCGGCACAGGCCCCAGGATCTGGCTTTTCCTGCCCTGGGTTCTGCCCTGTCAGCCCCTAGTCTCCCCCCAGGTTGATGACTGCATTCCACCCCACCACCCAGGCCGACTTACTGGTCCCCTGGTGATCAAAACCAGGAGGGCTAGATTCTAGTCAGCCACCCAGTTAGAGATCCTATTTGTATTCTGGGCCTATCATAGTTCTCCAGGTGACTAACATCTATTTGGTTGTCAGAAAAGTCATGACGCATTCTGCAACGAAAAACAGAAAAAATATGTCATGACTTTTCCGACAACCCAATAGAATGTCCTCGTCCTTGAAGAAAGACCCCACCCTAAGCATTTATGGGTCTGTTCTTACTACAGGTCCTGATGTATGTCAGGACCTCATCATAAGCATATTGAAGCCTCATCATAAATCTTGTCATAAACATGTTCAAAATATGCACACACATTTACAGGAACAGTGAAGTTGCCTATGGTTGGTTCCTTTAGCCTGGTTACCTTCTATTCCTCTGAAGTCTGTCTCACAGTTCAAGAAGTGACACCTCCTTCACATGAAACCTGACCTGAGAAGGTGGAAGGAAGCTCTTGTTATCTGATACATTTCCTGAGGCAGTGTTGCAAAGTGGCAAGTAGGAGCTTCAGCTAGATTGCCTAGGTACAAAGTTAAGTTTTACTGCTTACTAATTGTTTGATTTAGGGCAGGTAACTCAACTCCTCTGAGTTCTCTTAGCTACAAAATTGGGGGATTAAAACCTCATAAGGTTGCTGAAAGTGTTAAGTGACTGAAGATACCTATAGTGCATAGGACACAGTAAGCTCTCGATAAATGTTAGCTATTATTGTTGACATTATTCTTATTAATAAAGTTTGCTGTATTTGGCATCAATTAGGTCATCCTCTCCAAAAGCAGAGTTTATATATTTGCTCTTGGACTATGTAAATCAAAGATCTCAACTAAGATCCAGCGGTGCCAGGTGCTCTGGCAAACCCTAATGTGCAAAATAAGAAAAGATTCAGCTGAGCCTACTAAATGGCTAATTTGAAAAGGTTAATAATGTGCCAGCTCAGATTTAGCACAAGAGTCCCAAAAATGCTCAGTAACAAATACAAGTAAAGTCTCACCAAGGACTTTATTTCTTCCACAAAGTCTTTTGCAAACTGGTATGTTTCAAAAGCCCAACTCAGCTAAACCTTAAGGTCAGGTTCCCAGAGCCACAAATTTTGGATAATTCAGATCAAACAACTTAGGAAAAGACAGTTTATGGTGTCTGAATGATCCAGCGTGGCTCTCTCCAGTACCCCAAATCATAATGGCCAGATAGACAATTTAACTTGAACATTGGGGCCTGGTCTAATTGTGCTTGTGTTTTTATAAGGAAAATATTGGCCAAATACTTTACACTGTTTGAGCACACTTTCTTAAACAATAATTTTTCCTTGAGGGCAGGGAGGAATAGCATCCATTGGAGAGAGACCTTTAAGAAATATTTTCAAAAGGGTCTGGCTGTTCTTAATACCCAAATGAAAGGAATCCTGCCATAGCATTTACAACAGTTTGCTTTCTTTTGTAAGTATCTGTCACTGAAATTGGACACATTAGTTTAGGAACCAAATATGTCCTTGGCTAATAAGAGACTGAATGAAATAGTTACTTGGAAAAATTAGTGTTTCATTTAGAAGATAGAGGCAGTTCTAAAAAAAGGTGGGTAAGTAGTGAGTACATGTGCCTTACGCAATGAGTACTTTTTACTTAGAAATGCAGGGCTAATAGGTTATCATCCAGTTAATATGCAAGCAGGGAGACTACAAAGTAAGACTGATTTGTGTATGTAATTCACGATGTAACATTTTTTAGTCACAGCTTAAATTATTTAAATGATAAAGATTGATGTAACATCAGATTTTCTGATCTGCCGATCTTTCAATGTTCGTCATAATCCTTTACACTGGCATACCTATTTCTTTTACCTGTTTTAATGTTGTTTATGAACCTTGAGTCCTTTGCCATTTCATAAGTAATAGAAATCATTAAAACAAAATAGACAATTCAATAATTCTTTTGATCTGTGTTTTTCATTGGTGCAGAGTGGTGTAATGTCGATTAAAAATAAGCTGTTTTAATTTTCCTTTGACCAGTGTTGC